GAGAGAGAGAGAGAGAGAGAGAGCCCTAAGACTAACGGGCTATACCGCCAGCCCAGGCCCATTAGGCCATTACGTACTCCAACAACAACAGTATAAGTAGTGCAATTTTATCCACCTTGATAGGCTCATCTTGATCTTTCTTATTGCTGAAGAAGTCCAGGAACAACTTTGACACAGTGGCATGTAGTTCGGTTTCTGACAGAACACAAGTTTCCTGAATAGGGAATATGCGATGACACCACCTGTCCATTCAGAGTAATGATTTAGAAAAAGGTGCAACCTTAGATTTTCAGGACAAGATTACTGGGAGATATTACATCAGTTAAAGAAAATAGTACTGCAAGTCTGCAACTAGAGCTTAACTATATGAAACGACCTAGGAACATTAGCTTCACTGTATGACATACTCACTACTACCTCCATTTCTTGAATAAAATAGTGGCAGAAAGGTTGTATTTATATAAAATATAATCTACGATTACATCTAGCAAAGAGGAGATGGTGCATTATGCCTTTCTAATGCTCTGGCCCACACTACAGATATGTTTATGTATGAAAGTACAAGCCAGCTCCCAGTTATAGAATAACATCCCAACTCTCTCACTAGTTTATCTTTCAAATTAGGAAGGTATCTTTCAGCTTCGGCTTTAAGACAATTAGAAATAAGATCTGTGATTGTTACCAGGATTGGATAGGTAGGCCTCTATATAAAGAGGGCCCCTTTTGAGGAATCAAGCAAGAATTACTTGCCTTCAGGGGCAAGAGCCTCTCCCTGACCCTAGTACGCAATGTATTATACAGCATATATACAGAAGAGGCAAGCAAACAGGGATATGATACACAGCCACTACACAGGATTGAGATTAAAAAAATGATGAGGTATAAGACTGAATCAAGGTTGTCAATACTGTCAAGAAAATAGTATAGAAGAATTGTCATAAGCATTTTTCCATCATACTCTGGTCCACAGTGCATATCATTCAGCATATAGCCGGAAGAGGCAGGGGATGAGGGTATAGTACTCATAATAACAAAATAGGAATGAAATCAATAATATTTCAGTATAAAACTGAATAAGGCTGTCAATACTGTAGAAGAAGTATCATAAGCTAGCATTTCTTCAGTTCATCAGTGAACAAAATGCAAAGCTTTCACATTTGCCAAGAAAAAACATTTCTTTGGTTCAAGGGAATCTAAAAAAAGATGAGTAGGTGGAATCATTGATCCACTAGCTAAAATGGCGTCTTCGTTCTAGCAGTATGACTAAATAGATGAGTTCATTCAATGAAGTTGAAAACTTACTGTGGAGATTTAAGCTTCCCAGATTTCAGTGAACGAAAAACTTCGGTAAGCATCTGAACAACATGAACGCCTCCAGTAGGGAAAGAGAAGAAAAGCAAACCACTCATTGATAGCTTAATCAATGAGAGATTTGAAGTCCTGTCAGGATTTCCACTTGTATCGGAGTGAAGTGAATTTGTTTCTACCTCAATGCTGCCTGTTATGATGCAAGAAATGCACAAAATCAGAAAAATACAGTTAAGTGAACCACCCACAATGATAATTGACATTGACACCTCTAGATCTAGCATGGCCAAAAAGTTATCAAGCAGAATTTATACTAACCAGTGGGTTCTGGCGCATCACCCTTCCCATTTGTTACTGCATCTTCTGAATGTTCAATTTTGGATGCCTCGGAGAATATTTTTCTTTTCTTTGATGCCACTTCCATAACACATGATTCCAAGTTTTCAGAACTATGGCTGCTTGCATCGCTAATATACTGTAAAAAATGCTTTTATGTCAACATATTTCCATATAAGTTGCAGAAATGTAGAGTATGTCCTAGTACACTGTAAGTTCACAGCATGAGAGATGTGCACCACATGGTGAATACAAATTCAAGTGCAGCATCATGAAGATAACCAAATTCAAAGTAGCCGTACATTGCAGGCCTAGAATTATCAACTGCAGAAGAAAACTGTATAAGTAGCAAGATTAACCTCTCCAAGAATTGAAATGGCTTCCTTGGTTGCACTTTTCTCTCGTTCTGTAAAATGACAATCGCATCAAAAGAATTGCAACAGTGGATAGAAACTAAGTGTACAAGTAAAACTTTGCCACAACTAAGATGCATTTAAAATATGTTCTTGGTAATAATAAGTTTCTAAATGGTACTGCAAGTCACATACAGTGAATCATATCATACATCCTTGTCTTTTATTTTTTGTCTTCTAATCTACCTTGAACTATATTAAGTCCTCTTATCATACAACAGCTGCAGCTCATCCACCTACTAAATATTACTTTGCTAACATTTGAAATCCTGATTCATTTGACAGTAGCTTATGTAATAGTATACCCATTGCTGAAATCATGGAAAATACTAATTGTTCAATGTATGTCCAGTAGTGTCACGCTTTGTGTACTTCGCGATTTGGGTAGAAGACGGCAGTGCAAAATATATAATTTTCCATTTAGTTCCACGACATAACACTCATAACACTAGCTAGAAAATGGAACCACAACTAAACGGTACTGGTACTTAGTGTGTCGTGATAAAAGAACTCGTATAAATCTAGGAACAGATAGTCAGATATATCGCACTGATGAAGTTTCTAGTCCCCCTGCCCTAGGTATCTTTCAAATTGACCAGGCGCGGGGGAATAACGCAAGAGAATATATCATGAAGGAGGGCACGCACTGATGGGGCAGGTGATGAGGAAGCCGGAGTGCGAGCGGAGGAGGAGGGAACCCGAAGCGCGGTAGTCGTAGCGCGGGAGATTGATGACCGCAGCGTGCTGCTCCCATGGCTGCAGCTCCCGGCCGGCGGCGGCTTCGGCTACTGGCTCCGGCGGCTGCTCGCCGGAGGGTGCTGGGGTTTCTGTCTCGTGCTTGGGCTCTGGCGCCGCCATGGGGGTTGATCTGTTGAGTCCAAGCCTCGAAGGGCAGTGGGAATTTGGGGGCGCCGGAGCTCCCGGTCGACTGGTCGCGTTTTGGATGCCCTACCAACGAATGCACGTAAACCGACTTCGAAGGCGTATCACCACTTTTTCCGTAAACAAAGTGTAGAGGCGCCCCATTGTTGGATGCTTAAGTAAGGCGCTTAGAGCATCTCCAACAGCCGCGGTAAGCGCCGCGGGCAAAAATCCTGTTTGCCGCGCGCGCTTCGGCTGGTTTAGCGCGGCCGTCAGCGCTGACTCCAGCAACCGCGTTATAATGCAGCACGCGCGCGCCGCTCCAGCAGAACGCAAAAATACAGCGCGCGCGCGCCGCACAAACCACATATGCATTTCAAAGAAGAAGAGCAAAAATGATCAAACAAACAAAATAAATCAACAATAAATAGCTCAATTTTGTTATCATTACAACTCAAACAAATAGTTTATCGTTCAGTACAACAAATAATGCAATAAACACAACAAATAATGCAGAAATCATGATGCTCTTTGTCGTCCATACCATGTCCACCACTCTTCAATCAGATCATTCTGAAGTTCATTGTGCGTTGCGGGACGCCGAATGGCATGATAGGAGGCAATAAAACGGGCTACCTTTTCAGCCCTCCATCGCACTCGCACGGGATGTCCCAAGAGTTCATACTGTGAGTAGTCTAAATTTTGGCCACGCTCATCCTCGATGATCATGTTGTGCATGATCACACAAGCGTGCATGATGTACCAAAGCATTTGTTGATCCCAAAATTTAGCCGGTCCTCTCACAATAGCAAATTGTGCTTGCAAAATCCCAAATGCTCTCTCCACATCTTTTCTAGCCGCCGTCTGAGCATTGTGGAAATCAAGATATTTCTTACCTTCCGGCTTTTTCAACGGCTTCACGAAGGTTTGCCACTTTGGATAGATGCCATCTGCTAGATAATAGCCATAATTGTACGTACGGCCATTTGCTACAAACCGCACAGGTGGCAACTCACCGTTTGCAATCTTATTCGTCAGTGGTGACCGGTTGACAACATTTATGTCATTCAAAGATCCAGGCATTCCAAAGAATGCATGCCAAATCCAAGTCTCCTGATCGGCCACCGCTTCAAGGATTATAGTGGAACCCTTTTTTTAGCCATGGAATTGCCCATGCCATGCCTTTGGACAATTCTTCCAATTTCAATGCATACAATCTATTGAGCCAAGCATGCCAGGAAAGCCGCGCGCTTTGTTCATTGCCAATAGCCTTGCGGCGTCTTCAGCAGTGGGAGATCTCAAATACTCCTCGCCAAACACTTGCACAATTCCTACTGCAAAGCGCTTGACACATATGATGGCTTGGCTCTCACCCATAGCTAAGTGATCATCAACTAGATCAGCCGGGATACCGTATGCCAACATACGCAAAGCGGCTGTCACCTTCAGAAAGGTGCTATGCCCGAGCTCTCCGGCGGCATTCCTCCTTTGCTGGAAAAACCGGTCATGGCTCGCTAGTTTCTCTGCAATGCGCTTGAACAAGTCGGTGTTCATCCTAAACCGGCGACGAAAATACGACTTCGGGTATGTGGAATTCTCCATGAAATAGTTCTTCATCAATCTGTTATGGGCATCAATCCTATCTCTCCAAATTTTCTCTCGACCCATAACCGAACCACGGTGCTTCGGTTTTTTATTGATATGCATAGCTAGGATCATTGCAAGATCCTCCTCCTCTTCCATATCAAATTCTTCTTCGGAAGAATCAAACGACGAACTCATCTACAATGTTCAATACTATACTATAAAAACTACAATTCAAAACATGCCCCGAATTCATGAAGTTTGAGCAATACATACCTTGTAGGCGTTTTGTCGACACCTTGCGGGCACGGCGCGGCAGCGAGCGCTCGGGCGCTGTTCCTCGGACGACGGAGGCGCGCGAGCGCCGGCGGGACTAGGAGGGGATGGGGCGGAAGCGCGGCGGCACGGGGATAGGCCGGGGAAGCGCCTGAACGATCGCCGGGGGGGCGCGGGCGGCGGAGGCGGCGCGCCCGGATGGGGGTGGAAGCGGGAGAGGAAGTGCGAGAGCGAGCGCTCGAGTGTGCCGCGCGCTGCAGCGGGCGCCCGAAATACACCGCGCGGGGCAGTGTTTCCGACAGCGCGCCCAACTCGTTTTAGCGCACGCGCGGTTTTTGCGCGCTCGCTGAACCGACCCGCCGCGTTGCGCGCGCGCTAAAACCGACTAATTTGCAGCGCGACGCTAGTATAGTGCGGCTGTTGGAGATGCTCTTATGAACACATAAAATACAGGAAAAAAAAGATATGACTCGCCCGACTGTATATGCGTCGACCGCCTCTGTGCCCGTGGGATCCGATTTTGATCGGACGACACGGGAGCAACCTCTAACCCATAGCCTAGGTTTGCAACTTAGAACATTGTTGCAATCCTTTTCGCTTGCAACAAGGGGTCTATTGCAAACCGACCAGGCGTTAGGGAGGCCGACAACAGCTAGATCCCGCAACGGCAGCGACACATGTCTATATGGGGGACAACCGCGACGGATCCTATGGTGACGACGACGACACAGCTCCCCGCCACTGGCAACCTCCTCGGCTTGGTTAGGTAATTATCCACCGCCCCCATTGATTTTTTGTAGAAATGTTTCTCAAATCATTGGTCTTAGATGGTACGAACACTGGCATCTCCCTTTATCAACAAATCAAAAGAATTTTGTGAACATAGGCCTTATTTTGATTGGTCAAGATGTTTATTGGAACCGGAGCTACCACGGTGCTACAAGCGCGACAATGAAGGCGTTGCGGGACTCCAGCGGTGGATATTGCGACGATGAAACGACTACCTGAGAATGAGGACAACGAAATTGCGTTGATGCTGCCGTGAGACTACGACAGTGGGGCAGTGAGGGGCGGTGACAATGAGCCGATGCATTTACAAGGTTAACTGTGAGGCCTCATGCTAGAACGGGCGCGGGAAGGGGGGAGGTGCCGCAAGCTCCAAGGAGCGATGTTCTCGAGCGCGGGACGCAGTTCAGCGATGGCAGTGAGAGACGGCGAGCCGCTGGGGCTTCAAGGCCGGTCGCCTCGCGCGTCCATTGCGGGGGTCGGCGAGGCTCGCTGCTGCTCTCTCATGTACACGCTTTTTTTTTTTGAAAGGACTCTCTCATGTACACGCTGGTTTGATTTAGGAGGCAAAAGCAACGACGCCAGTGGAAGATAGCGCGAGCCTGATCTGACGGCTAGGAAACCACTAGTCGAATGGCACGGGACGTGACCGGTCAGGGGCTGGCGCCGGCCCACCGGCGCCTAGCACTTCCCCTTTCCGCCGGAAGTTTTGTTTTCTGAGACTCGCCAACAGTACTGGGCTTCGCGTCAGACGTGACCAGCCCACAATCACAAGTATCACAAGTAGAACGAGGTCGCAGCGAGTTCGATCCAAAACCTCGAACCCCTTTCTCGACCAAAAAAGCAAAACAATGGAGGCCAAGGCCGACGTCGCCGCCGACCTCTCGACCATGCGCGAGCAGTGCCGGAGCATGGAGGAGGTCATCTCCTTCCGCCGCGAGGCGCAGCTAGGCCTCGTCGGCTCCCTCCAGCACCTCGTCCCGGACCTGGTCCCCTCCCTCGACCGTTCCCTCCGCCTCATCGCCGCCTTCAACGACCGCCCCTTCACCCCTACCCCAAATCCCAACGCCGGCGACCCCCAGAACCCCAGCCTGAAGTCCCACCACCGCCGCGCCATCCCCGACCCGGCCCGCTCCACCCGCCGCAAGACCTCTCCGGGGTCCTCCCCGGCCTCCGCCGCTGTGGGAGGCGCTGCCCCCGGCGGTCTCGACGCGGTACGCACCATGGTGGCCGTATTCCTCCTTGAGCTTATCCCCTTCGCCGAGATCGACGCCGCCGTACTCGCGCGCCGCCTGCAGGCTGAATCCTCCTCAGCCAGCGATGCGGAGCGGGCGGCTCTCGCCGACCTAGCGACGGAGCTCGGCGGCTCCGTTCCCGCCGCTGTAGCTCTCGCCCTCCGACGCATAGCTGAGGACAGCGGCGGCGTGCAGATCGAGGAGGCCATGATTGGAGGCAAGCAGATGATGATGGTCTGGGCCATCGACCGTAGCAAGCTCCTCAAAGAGCTACCAGAATCCGCCACATTGTTGTCACCCCAACCTCCACCCTTACCACAGGCGACCGAGACCGACACTAACAGTGCAATCATACCAAGACCACCACCACCACATCAGCAGCAACAGCCGGATATGTGGGCGCACTCAATGCCACCGATGTTCCCACGGCCCAGGGGCATGACAATGCCGGGGATGCAGAGGATGATGCCAGGGTTGATGCCGCTTCAGCGCCCGTTCATGGCTCCAAGCTCGGGGCCTAGTCCTACCCAGCAGAACCAGAGGACCGAGGAGGAGGACCTGAAGGACCTTGAGGTGCTGCTGAGTAAGAAGACATACAAGGAGAAGCAGAACACAAAAACCGGGGAGGAGCTGCTGGATCTCATTCACCGGCCAACGGCAAAGGAGACGGCTGTTGCAGCAAAGGTTTGTTCCTATTCACCCTCCAACGGCAAAAAAGGTGTTAGTTGGCAGTGCCATTGTTCTGTGTAGTTTGAGATGACTAGTGCCTTGTTATATTGTTGGAATGTTGGGCAGTGTCTAAGCAAACTATGCAAATACACCTATGGTGAAGTCTTTGTAGAATGACCACAAAATCATAAGAGAATGGCTATACATAGGTAAACTGTTCACAAAATATTATAATGGGCCATTAAAAAGAACGGGAGTGCTACAAAGATGAGGAGGAAGAAGTCCTAAAAAGGGTGCTCATGTATGTTGGGGATTAAGGAATTGAGACTTTGGTGAGCTAAGACAATAGGCACAACACAAATATGTTGGCTTGGTAATAAGTAGACACTGGCAAG